AAAAAAATATTAAAGAATTTACTTTGTACTTATCATTATTTTACATTTGGGCGATATAGTTCGTGCATAGTTATAATAATTGGATATAACTATAATTAAAGTAATTTCAAAAAATAAATTTAAATTCTTGCCACACATTTAAAAATAGTAATCAAATTTCTTGCAGAATTTACAGATTAAAATAATTTCAGAAAAATAATTTCATAATTACAGAAAAATAATTTCATATAAAAATTATTTTAACTGATAGCTTATTGTTTTCTAAATTATTAAAGACAGAATAATCGAATTATACACTTAAATATAATTTTTGATAATAATTTCTTTTTTTGAAAAAACGACTCCAAGGTATGTTTGATTTGAATATCGAGATTTCTTTGTGCACAAAAACTATCTTTATATTTGACCTACAAACTGATTCCGTTTAGCATTATACGAACTCCACTGTGATAATTCTTTCAAATCCGGCCAACTGTTTCGCGCCGCTTTGTGAATCATAAAATTATTAAGACATGTAAAAAAGATATGATAAAGGGAAAGAGGAAAAGAGGGAGAGAGAAGAGAGAGAGAGAGAGAGAGAGAGAGAGAGAGAAAGGGAGAAAAGGAGTAGAGAAAGCGTTTACTACGGAAAGAAATATTATCCTCGTTCCGAATGAAAGCGGGTCGCGTGTTAACGGCGCCGTAACTATTTTAACAACGTTACTTTTAACAATATAAGGCGCCTGAATTATGCGCTGGGAATGCATCGCGTTTGGGATTGCTCGTTGCATTAACGCACAGAGGCGGCGCACACAGAGAGATCGAGCAGGGAGAGACCGATAGCGAGGACCTATTCCGAAGATGTTTTGCGAAACGACACGGGATCCGGGATGCAAATTACTCAAAGAGAAACTTCACGACGCACTGCCATATCGCATTGTGCTCGCGAATAAAATTTTAATGCGCATCCCCTTGACGAGACATGGACTCATTCGTCGCTCCAATTGTCCGGCGTTTAATTCGATCTCTCCGCTGTTCTCTCCCGCTCGGCGCGAACGCACGATGAATTATTGATATTGATCGCGTAATAAATTCGTGATCGATGTGGCGCTCGTATCGCGAGTGATTATGTGCACGATTTGATGACAAATGCATGCGCGATTGGTAGCGCGCCCCCGCAATAATGCAATGAGCGGGATTGTGCGAGCGTCGGAAAACGACATCGACGATACAGTATGAATACGATACAGGTGTAACATTATTAATCATTAATCATTATAAACGGTATTAACAACGGTCGGAACGATGAAATATCGAGATATTCGGTGAAAGTCCTTAATATTCAATTGTCGCCCGCGCGGCATTTCTGAGCGCAAGCTCGAAGCGGAAGTTTTAACTAAACAATTGCGAGCAAGCAGTCTGGTACAGAAACGGTAGCGGGAATGATCGGAGCGGAAAGAAATTCCCGTTCGCGACCGCCGATTGAATTTCATTCGGAATTCGAATAGCGGGCGACGGTAATCGGCGTTGATCTATTTCGAGTTTCCCAGCTAAACGTCGCAGACGCGGTCGGACTGGCCGGATTCGAACTCAAATCGAGATACGAACGAGAGGGCAGGTGCGAACGAGAGACCAGGATTGTGCGGCCCGCCGGGCGGAAGACTGATTGGCCGTCCCAGATGCATACCGTTATCATAAATCTGCTCGAAATCCCCCGCAACCGCGTGGAAATACATTGCGCCACTTCCTCGCCCGCCGCTTCCGCGCGTCTCGAGTCTCTGTTCTGACGTTCTTCATATCATATTTTCGCGAGGAGAAATCAGAACGCGGATTGTGTCTCCCCGAGATAAATTAACACGCGGCGTTTATCGGGCCGTTATTTCAGGTGCCGGCACGCATGCGGCTCCAGCGCTTTAAGCCCGGAATCCAGCGGCCACTGGCGCAGCAATTAGGTCGGCCTTGTCGCTTTACGCGTTCCGACGAGCATAAAAAAAAAGGAGAATCGCCGAGCGTGTGGCGGCACGTAATAAATTTGACTCTAAACGAAACGTTTGAAACGACTACGAGCCTGGTTGGGGACCAACTCGCGCTTCTTAAAAAATTACTCCGCTAAGGAACGACGATAAGAGTTTAAGGCTGACGTGGCTGGATGGCGATATAAAACTGAATATCGCATATCTAATAGCATTGAAAAAAAGAAAGATTTAAATTTAGTTAGAGTATTAATAAGAGATAGCGAGATAGCGAGAGATATATAACATGTTCGGAAGTTGGATCTATGTAATAAATTTGCATGTGTTTATGTGTGATTGAATATACGCGTGAATATATGTTTGATAAAATTCGTTCTCTCCAAATATAAATCCTAATAAATGTAGAATCACATGCGGAATAAAAGGCGAATAAAACGTAGTTGATGTGTGACGCACATTCGGGAAAAGTTCGGGACCGAAGACTCTCATTTTCTGATTTTCCTCAGATGTACTTCCTCGAGCAAGAACCGACGTAGATGCAAGTAGAAGATTTCTAAAATTCCATTTCGTTCTCGATTACTTAGATATTAAGTGGAGCTGCGTTCCCATAGCGTGACGGTTAATGAAACTTTGAAACGACTTGAACCAAGCGTTTACCAGCGGCGTCTTGGGTACCTGACAGGTACTCGTGTCTCTTGACACATGACGGACATTGCGGCGAGTTGTTAGCGCGTCTTAAATTCAATCAAATTTAAAATTCCAGCGCAATTTGTCGGTTAATTTGAAGTCTTCTTACAACTCTACAACTTTAATGAAAAATTTCTGCTTTGACGAGACTACATTTTAATTATAACTTTTTTAAATAATAAATGTCAAATGCCGATATACAAGTATTCAAAAATTATTCGTATTCTATACAGAAATCTTATATTCAAAGGCACTTTAAATTCTTTTTTTAGACAATTCCAGTGACAGGTAGTAACGAATATAAGTTTCTATAAATTTTTATATCACAAAATGTGATTTTTTTTGTGATCGTGTGGTAGAGAATCGAATAAATAGTCTGAAATTGAGTCCGTGTTTACACCACTGATGAATGGAATAAAAGTTACGGAGATCTTGGATATATTCACCGATATTTTTATTCGTGAAATGTCCACGATTTGCGAATTTAATCGCCACATATTTTTCACAGCGCGCAGCATGAATAACGTTTTTTAAAGTGAAAGAGCCACTCTCTCTTTCTCTCCGTGTCGCGCGTGTTTCGGCGTTTATACTTGTGAAAAATTCATCATACATGGTGAACGAGCATAATCGATCCGTGAATATTCGTATACAAAAGTTCATTGATCAATGAGAATCGGTAATCACCGCCGCGAAATTAACGGCGATCGTGCATTTCCGATAATCAGCCGCGTGTAAATACAATGAATTCTCTTAAATGAATTCATGCTGAAACGTGGTACGCGATAATGCCAATGAAATAAAAAAATAAAGCCATATTAAAAAAATTAAGTGATTCGAATTCATCATTTCTCACGTAGATAACAGAGCTATCACTGTATTGAAGAAATTCACGAAATTACATGCAACATATTCGAAACTATGTGTAAATTGCTCTTGGAATTGCTTCTGAAACGCGTAACTCGTTACGAGAAAAAGGATTTTTTTAATAATTTCGAGAACACATTATTTCATCGAAAAAGAGAGCGCATTTGTGACTAATGAAGATATTGAAATTAAATTTCAAAACTTAAAACATTAATAACCAAAGACAAAGATACTATCAAATAACAAATTATGATTTTATTACCAAGTTACTTTCGTAAATAAAAATTGTCTGCGTCTTCTAGCCAATTGTTGAGAAAATGTTCTTTTACACAATTATAAACATGTCTGTGTTAAATAATTTTTCATATCATTTTCTAATAATTTGTAATAAAATTTACTTATCATTAATCGTAAAAACGTTAAAATGCTCATAAATAGAACTCGCATTTACAACTCTGTCCACGAGTGTCATAGATAATAAGAGAGCAATACTATCAAACTGGGATTATGTACTAATTATTGTTTTTTGAAAGTACTTCTGATTTATTGTGATATTTGATATAGGTAGGAAGTAGAAACAAGATATCGAAAGAGCAAGATGTTTCTCAGCATGACGTTTAAAAAAGTATTTTCTATTGCGTCGTCTTTACTGTTCGTTATTATTAAGATTAACTTTACGATGTAACGATACCAAATTAAGACCGGCGTACGATAAACGGGATACGACGTTGTCCGCATCGCAGCGTGTTTATCTGCACTCACTTATAAGATACTCATAGGATTTACTGACATTAAAGATAAGACGATAATGTATGATACATTACGGTGGATTTCGAATTAATTCTTAAAGAATTAAACGATAAACTCTTGCAACTTAATGAATTTCTCAGTATATGTCTGCAATCATGTATTATAGGAAAGAAAATGATTCGATTCAATAAAAATCTATGAAAATATTCGCATCGAAATTATTTACCTATAACAGAAACAATTTCTTGCTAAACTAATATACATAAAATTCTTTCTCTTTTTTTCAGGCTCATCAAAAAAAAAGGTGACCAAATTATGCGATACAAATTGCACGACAAATAAAAATAGTGAAGTGCATACAAAAAAGAACACAAGAATATAGATGTTGCTTTACAACATTACGATGAAAAGTATAATTGCACTTTATTATATAAATCATTTCAAGGTCCCTTTAATCATTGCTGCATTGTTTTGTTTCCTAATCTTAACACGAACGCATTTATGAATAATTATTTGTCGGACTAGCGTATCGTCATAAAAATTTGGAAAGTTTATATATATGAAAATCTAATTGTTTATATTAACTTTAATCATCCTGAGCTTTTATATTAGCAATCCCTTCTTCACAAAACTGCTCTAAACTTAAGCAATATAGTAATAACATCGTATGGATATATTCTTATTTTATACATATATGTATATATAACTCTCTTCTATGTATATATATATATATATATATATATATTATTTTTTTTTTGTTTATATAATATAGAGAACCTTATTTTATAGGTATAACAGGCTCTTAATTCAAAGCTGCAAAGAGACTCGATAATATCTAATTCATTTTTTACAATATAAATATGTGTCATTTTTACAACACATGAATTATTCAAACTTACAAAACTGTTTCTTAATATCTATTAAGCAGAATTAATAGGAGCGCTTACATAGCTTTTTACAGCTCAATGATAGTAAACATCAGTTTTTCGAAGTCGCTTTGCAGCTATTAATACAATACTTTATTTTCAAAGCATGATCTAGTAAATTCAGATAACAAAAAATATATAGTATTTTACAGTACCATTAGTCTTAAATAAACTGTTATCTGCATACAGAATGCATGCACATAGAATTGTCCATGGCAACGCTAAAACTAGATCACTCTTCCCGAAGTACAGATAAACATTTCTTGAGCATTTCTGCATGTGACTGTAAACATTAATACATTTTTTATATGCTGCAATGTTTGAATGCAATCGAGAAAGGTAAGATCATTACACTCACTTTAGCATGTTTTATTTCCAGCTCTGTCAGTTCAATGAGATTCTTCTTAAATGCAGCTACCCGCCTTGTTTTGAAATCCAGTAATTCTAGAAAGTTATTATAAATTATATTAATAACTAATAAACAATATTTATAATGTTCTGAAAATAATCAATATCATTCTGTAAATCTTATGTAATATTTTCATAAAATAGAAAATATATTACTTTTCTTTATTTTATTCATCAATTCAAGAATTATATCAATTGCACAATTTTCAAGTAAATGATATATCTATTTATATTTACCTTCTTTTCCTTTATCGGACATTTGTTCAAATTTCTCACATGCTTCAGTCTGTGCTTGTTCCGCCTTGATTAATAAAAAATAAATCCATAATTATTAAAATAATAAATATAAACATTTTTATCTAAAACTTTTCTGATGCAATTACATAATATTTATATATTCATCAGCAAAACTTATATCATTTCTATCATAAAAATGTTTTCAGATCATAAATTATTTAAATTATCAAGACAATATTAAGTGCATGCAATCATCATTCATGCATAATACTTCTGATAATAACTTCCGTGCTGCAGCAACTAACTTGTGCCAATCTCCTTGTTTAAAAAATGCAATGTCTCCATGTATACATATGTATATATTTTATATATTAATTATTCTTCTTGTTTATATAAAAAAATAAGAATCTTGTGAGATTCTTTTCCAAAAAAAATCGTAAATTACTTTCCTAATATTATAAAATATCACAAAATTTGTAATATCCCAAATATAAAATTATAAAATATTTTTCTTTGCCTAATAGTAATTAAGTGATTTTAATATAAATTTATTTTGATCCATTTAATAAAAAGGTTGGCAATAAGATCTAATACTTTTTAAGCACTATACATAAAATATATGTAGGACACAAACAATATATGACACACCTCAGCAACCTCCAGTGCCTTGAAAAGCAAGAAAAATTAAAGTTCTGATTAGATTCTATTCAGAGTCACAATCTCAGAGTCATAATAAGTTACAATATCTAATAATTGCAATTTCAATTTAGACATATTAATTTTATTTAGACATTTAATTTTAAATGAATATTTATTGTATTTTTTCGTCCTACATTTTGGTACTACTACTTTTTTATTAAAATAAATTAGCTGAGAATATTATTATATATTATATAAATATAAATTTACAAGTTGTAGGAAAATGTATACTTACTGCATGGACATCTTTGTTTTTGGCACGAGCTTTTTCGAGAGTACGGTTTGCAGATTCATATTCATGCAAAGCTTTCAATCTTCTGAAAAGAAGTCTCTTAGCTGCAGCTGTATCTCTCATGTAATAACGAAGAGTATCTGATAATTTTAAATCTTCATCTGATGCTACCCGTCCTTCAACTTTCTAAAAAAAAAATTTTATATGTAACAGCATAATAGATTCAATTTGATTAAAAAATTCTAAGAATAACATTGTATAGTGTTCTTACTCGTAACTTCTCGAAGGTTTCGGCAATTTTAGTTAAAAATCTCTCAAGTTTTCCAGTATCCGTTGTAGCTAATTGTAAAAGATTGGTAGAAATCTTTATATATGAATCTGCTACATCTTTATGTTTAGCTGTTTGACGATCAGCCAATCTTGTAGCTTCTTTTAAATTATGATGATAAGTTTGAAGGAATGTCATTTCTTGATCAAAAAAATCATTCACATCTTTTACCGTAGCTGACAGGTAATATTCATCAGTAGTTTTAGAGAACGATTTTACTAAACCACCGAACATTTCCATTTTATTTTTTCCTGTAAAAGAATAAACAAAATATATATTCTATATCTGTTTTAATTTTTATATTCTGTAATATTGTGTAGAGTACGAAAATCTTACCTCGCACGCAAAGATCTTGATCATATTCTAAGAATACTCTCAGATTATGATCGTTCCGAAAAACTGGATGATGTGCTAACCTAGTTAGAAACATCTCGTGCATAGCAACAGTTTTCTTGAAAGTGGCTAAGTATTCCCTACAAGATCACGAAAATAATATAACAAAATTAAATTCTATATTTTTTCAATCAAAATGTAATATATGTGCAAAAAACTCACGCTTCTAATTCCTGTTTCATCTTATTAAACTCTTCGCGTGTCATGTTTCCTTCACCTTCGCCCAATTTTTGTAGTTTTTCACGGGATGCATCAAAGTCTGGCCTTGGTGGACATGGTGGAATCTGTTATAATAATATTAATATCTATAAAGTAAAATATAAGTTTGAATGCCAAATAACACAATTGTTCTTTTCTAATTTAGTGGTATCCAATGCAATCATGTGTATATCATATTTTTTCATATAATCATTTAACATTGTTATTTAATATTTCAGAATAGTTTGAATAGTAATTAATTATATCTAGAGAATTGTAATTACAAAAAAAATTCATTTAAAATTTACTATAACTCATGTTTGATATTTTACATAGATTTTCACAATTGTCTCTAACACTAAAACAGTAAAAGATGCAACAGAATAAAATAAAGATTCCATACATACAATGTAACCAGCGTATTCTTCATTTTCCTCAAATCGATCATGGAGCCACACAAACTCTTCGTGCTGCCTCACAACTAGATTGTCTGGCTTTTGGAATTCAGGTAGAGTAGTTTTTGTATGTACAGTAAATTTAACTTTGTCCTTCTCGCTGAGAGCATCCGAGATATCCACCTGCAAGGATTTATCCGAGAGATCTATGGTATCAGCATGGATTGTCTGCAAGAGAACAGATCTGTTAATTGATACAGCAGTGCCAAGTTGTCAACGATAATACGAAAACATAGTAAGGGAACGCACAAGATAATACATCCTGTTATCAAACAGGAAATCGAAGAAGAGAAGAAATTCTGATAGAAAGAAAAACGCTAATAAATACCTTTTTGGGAGGTACGCTATTTAAAATGTCCGTGGTGTCACATATTCCATCCTGCAACATTTTTCGTATATTAGAAAACGCGAGATGCGCCTTCGAAGAGGAAGCGCACTTTGCGGGGATCCGCGTCGAGATTGAACACGTCAGACGAACGGAACGGCGAGCACCGATTGATAACAGGTTCCACCTACCATCATGGCGTCGACTGGCGTCGTTCTCTTGACACACAGCGGTCAACAGCAATCCGATTAACAGGATCGTCTCGCTAAATAACGTATGTATATACAACCTCCGCGCAGCGAGCAGACAGACTATCTCGGATGGTCTTCGACACGTCGGGACATGAAGGACGGACAATCTCTCCTGACATGAACGACACTGTCGAAACGAGCGCCTCTGGTAGGCACGGGGGCGAGTTAGATCAATGATGATTGTGCGTTCCAACCAGAGAGAAGTCTGAGAGCGGACATGCCCGCGATTTAGCTGTAACTTTATTTTGAAACGCCTCTATGTCCATAAAAAAACGTTAACATTGAATTACGTAACCAATGTCCATGATCCTGTAGGTAACGTCCACGATTGTGTGGTTCTTATTTGTGCTACGTTCACGATTTTGTGTTTTGTTCCGTGCTATATGCAGGAGTGACAGTTAGTTAGATAAAGAGGGATTAATCCCTACCCGTCCTTGTCTCACAAAATCGTGAACATTATCTACAATCATGGACATTGGCTATGCAGTTCAATGTCCACGTTTTTATGGACATAGAGGCGCTTCAAAATAAAATTACAACTAAATCGCGGGCATGTCCGCTCTCGGCTTCTCTCTGTTCTAAGCCTTGTGGCTTAAAACTTTATACACGTGCTGTAAACATAAAAGAGATTTTTGATTGATTGCCTAAATCTCTATTATGTACAATCACAAAAAAAATTATTTTAAACAGAGAATCTAAAACATATCAAGGAATATTACTAGTAAAATACTACTAATGAAAATCTTATTTGACAAAGCAATTGAATAAATCAATTATTATATTGTGTTTATACTATGCTTATAAATACCTCGATATAAATATTATTAACCCTGTATGTAAATATTGGGGCATGTGAAAATATCGCATGTGTGAAATCCATGATGCTAAATCCGTGATCACGGTGTCATCAGTTTTAAAAAATGAAAAAGCTGCATTCCTCAAATAGGTTAGTCGACATATCCGAGCCGATATTGGCAGAGGACAGTACATCTTCTGTGATAGCATTATCATTGAGTACAATATTGGAACAATTAGATAAAGATGCCACACATCATGATTATCTTGTTGCCTTGCTACTCGTTTTCTTGGCAGAATCCGGATTTCGTATAGCATTTGTTTCCAACACTTCAGAATGGTAATACACTTACTGACTTACAAGACGTAATACAACCATTATTATTTTTTACAAAAAATAACAGATATACAGATTCCTGAGATAAATCCTGAGATTATCATTTATTTTTTTTTGTTTACTTTCAAATTATTACTATTCTCTAATTTCAAAACTTCGTAAATAAAAAAATATAGGATAAAAATTGAGATTGAATTCCTTGATTACAAGTCGATTAATCTTATGGAAAGCCTATACTAGCGCTCTTCATTAATATATAAATAACAAAGCATATTTTTCTTACAGGAATCAAAATACAAGATTAGTTTGTATACCTACAAATTGGAAATCGCAAGAAACAGGTGTATATGAAATACGTTTAATACTGCATAACATAGAAAATTTTCCATTAAAATTGATTGTGTTACCTTATGGCGATAAATTGCTATTAAATATGATTCCTTACGTAGAAGGAAAAACAGTTTATAGTATGATTATACAAACGTTGAATTATGTAAATCCATATACAAATAATTTGTGTTTTCGATATATGAATCTCAAAAAAATATCACACAGGTATGAAGAGATGATTTTTATTTTTTTTTGCAATTATTATTGTGACAAAAGAAAATTATGTTATTAAATCTGATCTGAAATAGGATGAATATTTTTGTTTCTATTTTTAATTCAAAATTTCTTATACATTGAATGACTGGATCCTAAATCTCCCTTTCTTAATAAGAAATTGCTTTATTAAAATATTTTGTAATATTTTGGCTTTATACTATGCTAA